CCTCTCCTGACAGTCAGCAGGAGGGGCTGTCAGTACGTCCATTGGCGTCAGCACCAGGGAGGCAAGATCGTCAACGTCAGCGTCGGCGGTAAGGGATAATGAGGACTCGCTGCTGACTGCTCCTCATAACTAGATCAAACATGGTGACTGGTGAGACGGTGTTATGAGGGTACACACACACACACTTCATTCCCCCCCACTGCCTGCCTGCTTGTCCCTTCTCTAAGATTCCGCTTTTTCTGGGTTTTGTTCGTCGTTTCTGATGTCCCCAGTTAGGGTCTATCTATCTATCTATCTATCTCTGTTTGTCTGTCTGTCTGTCTGTCTGTGTTGCCAAAACACTGACCAATAAAGACACCTGAAACAAGATAGTGAAGGCAGGTGAGGCAGGTTGATCACACACACACACACACACCTGACATCTAGCCAACACATCCATTTACCTTCTCTTTAATCGCTTCTCATTAGCAACTAGCGCTAATAACTGTCATCACCAAAGTACCTACATTCGCTATTGGCTGTCAGCGGCACCGGGTTTATCTAAGGGACTGACTCTGGTTTTATCTTGCTTAATAAATCTTGTCTCCTGATAAGTCTGTCTCCTTGTAGTATGTAATATCTCACCCACCCTAACCTAACCTAACCTAACCTAACCCAAACCTAACCTAACCTACATTATTAAGTCATCCAGTGTGAGGTTATGTGATTCCTCTTGTATATATCAAAACTTCCCGCGTGTGTCTGTTTGTCGGTATGTGTCGGGTTGATGGGCGTGTCACAACACTCTGACAGACAGGTAATACCTACTTACTCACCTGGAGATCCACGGGTACACCTGACTGTGCCCGTAATTAAATACGGTACTCCTCTTATCCGGACAACCACCTCTATGGTACCCCTCTTATCCAGACAACCAGCTCTATGGTACCCCTCTTATCCGGACAACCACCTCTATGGTACCCCTCTTATCCGGACAACCACCTCTATGGTACCCTCTTATCCGGACAACCACCTCTATGGTCCCCTCTTATCCGGACAACCACCTCTATGGTACCCCTCTTATCCGGACAACCACATCTATGGTACCCCTCTTATCCAGACAACTAGCTCTATGGCACCCCTCTTTTCCGGACAACCAGCTCTAGGGCACCCCTCTTATCCGGACACACAGTTCTACGGTACCCCCTTATCCGGACACTCAGCTCCACAGTACCCCACTTATCCGGACAGCCACCTCATACATCAGTGTTTGTTAATGAATCTGACTATCTGTATCCGGACTATTTATTATAAAAAAACAAGTGAGGAACATTTGTCATGATCTATGGAATGTGTCGTGTTGTCTGGGATGTGTCGTGTTGTTGGGATGTGTCGTGTTGTCTGGGATGTGTCGTGTTCTCTGGGGTGTGTCGTGTTGTCTGGGATGTGTCGTGTTCTCTGGGATGTGTTGTCTACAATCTATGGTGACGTTATCTCATATCCTAAGTGTTTTGACTGATGGTGAAATTAATTAAGTCAGGGGAGGGGATTCTTTTCCGCGTCAGGTGTGTGTGTGTGTGTGTGTGTGTGTGTAAAAATGAGTTACAACAGCGAGCGACAACCGAGAAGAAAGACTCAGACTAATATTAACTTTGAAGACAGCTGAGAAGACGTCAATTTGTGTCTCCGTCAAGCCTCGGGGTGTTGTGGTAGTGTCTTGAGGACGCAGCTTCCCTAGGGAGGAGGAGCGTGTGGGAGGGAACACGGTGAGTTGTCTTGCCTTAGTGGGAGAAAGTGTGTTGACGGCTTTGTCCTGGAGTGTTTGTTGTTGTTGTTTTAGTGTGGTTGTTAGTGTCTTAGTAAATATTTTTTTCTTAACGAGTATTTCATGCTAATGGGGTTGTTTTGTGCCCTAAAGAGGTATTTATATCTTATGAGATTTTTTTTTTATTACAATGAATCAAGGTAGTTAAGTTACACGCCATAATAAATTCCTAAACTGAGTGACCTACATAGAAGCTATAGTCTTAACTATATACATACATCCGTAGTTATGTGATAAAAAAAATGATTATCTAACCCGTATCTAAAAGACCTGTAAATTGTAAGTTGATGTAAAGATGTGAGAGGAATGAAGAGGGTGAATGGTGGTGAGGTTCGACTAAAGGGAACTTGTACAGAATGAAGGTGGCATGAGAGAGAGAGAGAGAGAGAGAGAGAGAGATTCACTTCACACATTGACCATTACAAATAGCTGTAGTAGTTAAGTGAAAGTTGTCTTGGAATGGTTGTTTCATAATGGCTCTGTTAAAGTGATTATTATCTTAAGGGGAAAGTTTTGATAGGATTGTCTTGACGTTGTCCTGTAGGAGGGCTTGTCCCAAAACACTTTGTCTTCTATGGGTTTTATCTGTAATGCCTGTAATGATTGTCTTGAAATGGTTAAGTCTTCAAAGTGATTTTCTTAAGTGTTTTGTGTGTTGCGTGTGTTGTAGGAAGAGTAGTGTTGAGTGTGTTGTAGGGAGATCAAGAATAGGGTTGAGTGCGTTGCGTGTATTGAGTGTGTTGTAGGAAAGTCAAACATAATGTTGAGTGTATTGAGTGTGTTTTAGTTGAGAGCAAGAGTAGTGTTGCGTGTATTGAGTGTATTGCGTGAGAGTGGCAAGTTGAAGATCTGTGGCTGACCTTACGAGCAACATTCCGTAATAAGTGGGTTGGTTTTGTCGATCTCTTGGTACTTCTGGTGTGCTTAAGGCGGTGTGTGTGTGTGTGTGTGTGTGTGTGTTTTCTTTTTGTGTATGTATGTATGTATGTGTGTGTGTGTGTTTGTTTCTTTTTGTGTATGTATATATGTATGTGTGTGTGTTTCTTTTTGTGTATGTATGTATGTATGTATGTGTGTGTGTGTGTGTGTGACTGCAAGCGTGTTATGTTAGTCGTAAAAAATGTTGACCGATCGTTAAAGGGACTCGCCCCAGAACCAATGGCCCGTCACAGTACCAAAGCGACAGACACAGTCAAAATGATGGCTTGGTTTCTGTTGATTTACGGACATAATTCATGTATACAAACACACGTACACAAAAGCAAACAAAAGCATTGAATAACACAAGTACGTGTCCATAGTTACACACACACACACTCACACGCACACACACACACACACACACACACACACACACACAGGGGCGGTACTAGCGGAAGTGAGTATCGATAAGCCAAGAGGAAACTTGGTGTGTGATGTAGGGGCGTGGAGCACCAACCACCAGCCCACGCCCACACCAACACTAGCGGCCTTGTGCTAACGACGCCCCAAACTGTGTGTGTGTGTGTGTGTGTGTATGTGTGTGTATGTTTCGGGTGCGTTTTTTCTTTCTTTTATTTTAGGAAATGATTTTTTTTCGTGCGTGTGGTGGATGGTGGAGGACAGAAGTTGATGTTCCCGACGGCTTATTTATTGGTAGTTAGAGCTCTCTCTCTCTCTCTCTCTCTCTCTCTCTCTCTCTCTCTCAACCTCTTCTACTAGCCTCTCTCACTCCTTCCTTGAACGTCTATCGTTTCTTCCCATATCTTTCCTTCCTTCCTTCCCTTTCTCACACATTTCCTACCACACTCCCTTCCTTCCTCCTCTCAACCTACCCCCTTTCCTTCCTTCCTTCCTTCCTTCCTTCCTTCTCACGTATACTCAGATTTTCTCTGTTCCTACCCTTGCCTTCGACACCCATAAATTTGCCAGGGCTGATAGGAGGCCGGGACCAGGCACGAGCACCCGGGAAAATACCTCCGTTTAGGGCCCGATTGTTGTGGTTTTGTTTGGGTGTCCCCGTGGGCTGTGGCTCGATAAACGGCGACCAGCGGAGAGTTAGGAGGGTGGGAGGGTGAATGGGTGGGAGAGGGTGGGCAAGCGAGAGTGAAAGGAGGGTGGGTGGATAAGGGAGAGTATGGATGATGGATAAGGGAGAAGGATTGGAAGGTAAGGGAGGGAAAGTTAGGTAAGGTAGTGAGACCCCTTATCACAAACTCCCTAATATAATACTTAGGGAATTTGACTCCTTATAGTGCATTGGGTATTATCACAGTTAAGGTCACTTTGATGGTGATATTAACTACAGACTGGGATTTATATTTTGTCAGAGCCTTTATATAAGTTTCATTGGTCATGGTCGTTTTGAGTAAGAGACAACAATAGCGTCTGGGTGATGTGGTACACGGAGGCAGAGTCACCTCTAGAGACTCAGGTAGAGGAGCAGCTTATCACCAGCAGCAGGAGGCAGTAAAACAAACCACCGTGGAGGAGACGCCAGGTAACCCGTGACCAAATTATCAATAACAAGCGGTTACCTGCGGTAGTTGTGTGTATAAAATTTCAAGCTGGTATTATTATCACACCTGAGAGCGATGAAGGTTTTATCAATACTTACCTTTAAACTGTATCGATTATCTCCTTGTTGGTGTCATCAAGGCCATTATCATCGTCCTTTAAAAAAAAAAAACCTGTAATTGGGGAGTATAGGTGCTTCACGTTGGCGATATTTAAACAGTTTCCAGGCGAATAACTCAAGGTAAAACCCACCAACTCCCCGACCGTGATTATTATCTGAACATCCCGTCCTCAAGTGTTGTGGAAGCTCTTCACCGACCACCCAGCGGAAGTGGTCAACCAAAATGATTATTGTCAAGAATAGTTAAAGGCGATATATCTCAAACGCTAATATTTCTACCTTATATAACCTCGATACATGACAAGTGGGTAAAGAAAATCTCTTCTGTTCAGTCAGTTTGTCCTTCGGAAATTTGAATCCCCGATGTTGATGTAGATGGCGTTTAAGGGAACGTTTGAGTGACCCCAAAAACATCCCAACACGGCGTCGTACCTTATGATCAGCTGAGGAGGGACTGTTATTCTCCCAGCCGCCGTGATCTGCAGCTTAGGGGAAATGGCAACTCTTATACGGCCGATTGAGATGAATGTTTTTTTTATTGAGGCTTTTTATTTTGGTGTAACGTGTCTGTCTGGTATAATGACCCAAGGTATACCTGTGGTGCGGAAGGATTGTGACTTCTGGATTGCGGAAGTTGGTATTATGGTTGTTGACTCGAGGGTTAATGGTACTGGAGTAGACAAATACACGTGTGATTACATTCAGGTGGGTGTTCATGTATACACTTGTACTATAAACGTAGATAGGAGGGCAGAAAAAACAGAGAAAGTGAAGAAAAAAGGTAAATTATTGGTGAAACTAGCGAACGAGTGATCCAGGTGACCCGCCATGTACTCAGAGGACGATTCCCGAAAACCACATCAACGCGTGCGACAGATCCAGCCATCCATCAGCAGGACCCCTGAGGCAGAGGCTCCAGCTGGCCAACACCTCCGAGGCACACGGCTGGTACTGATCTGTAAAGAGGACCCTCCACACCATCCCCCCTTATATGCCTTCCTGGGTGCTACCTGAACCTGGTGTTTGTCTGTATGTTTTCTCTGAGACATGTTTATTCAATATTTATCCCCCCCCCCCTTCCCCCTCGTTATATAATATGGGAACTATATTGTGTTATCCTTGTCCGTTTGTCTTTACGATTGTCGCTTCTGTTATCGATGTAAGGAAGGATTCGTTGATCGGGAAGAGGGTTTGGTATGTCACTTTGTCTTCATGAATATCTCGGTAGAGTTCAGTGATCAGTGTTCTCTATCTCTATATACCAATAACTAACAATTTTCACTAATCCTTTCATTAAGAATTCCGTAGTTTAGTTCCGTTTAAGGTAAAAATTGTAGGTTAATTTTCTCTCTGTAAGATGCAAAGAAAAAAATCTTTCCCTCGAGAACAAATTTCCAGCATACCTTTTTGTCCTAAGATCTGCACGACAGCCGAGCACCTGTTTAAGGCAGTGTATGACAGCGAGGAACTTTGTCTTGGGGAATACAGACGGTGGCACCCTCGACCCCCTGCGACGACCACGAGTACGGTAGTGTCGTTCTCCTAGGGCAGGCAGGTCATTTCCGCCAATAATGTCCGTGAGCGGTCCATTGGGCACGGAGACCCCAGCCAATTGTGTGAGCCGGAGACAGTACCAAGGAGAGAGGAGGTTGTTTACTTGGGGCGTGTTCGTGGTGGTGTTATTGGTTTACGTGGAATTGTGATTAACATTATTCATTTATTAGTTCTCTTTCTCTCTCTCTCTCTCTCTCTCTCTCTCTCTCTCTCTCTCTCTCCTGTGTTATTGTTGTGGCCTAGTTCTGGTGCACCTCTCATGGCTTTACAATGTTCCTGCCGCTAAAATCAAAAGTGGGGGTTTCTAAATTTAAATTCTGCCCCACCACAACTTTTCCCTTACATCAGTGGTGGAGTGTGAGAAGGGGCAACCAATGGTGGAACGGGAGAGAGGAGAGGAGAGGAAATATTCTTTAGAAAAGGAGAAAGGAGGTGGAATGAAAGAGAGGGAAGGATAGGAAGGAAATTTAGGTGAAAATAGAGAGAGGAATTAAAAGAAGAGGAGACAGGAATAATGAAAGAGAGGAGAGACAGAAGGGTAGATGAGGAGAAATTAAATAAGAATAAAAGAAATATTATTAATTTTTACATCTTTTATTACAGGTACGTGAGGTTCTGCCGAGTCATACAGTCTACAGTCTCAGGGTAAAGTACATGGATACTATTTACCTCACCTTAACACTCGCCATACCTTACCTGACTGATATTAATTTTCATGGGTGAGGGACTTTTTTTTATTAAGGGTGTTTAAGGGGCGTTTATAGGGAATATTTTTAAGGGGTATTTTTAGATGTTCATAATTGACATGAATTTTTTTTTTTAGCTTGTGTGTTTATAGGAGACGTTAGTAGTTTGTCTATGAATTATGGAAAAAAGAATATCGTATTGCCAAATTAGTTGTGAGCCTTTAAGGTGTGTCCTGGTGTAAACATTTATCTGAGAGGAATTTATATACGTAGTTTAAAGGGATGTAAATACGTTTTATATAGGGATTTATGCTCGTAGTTTCCAGGTCACATCAAAGGTTCGTTGTTGACTTGAGACAAATGATTTTTTAGGCCAAGAGAAATACTTGAAAATTTTCTTTCACACACACACACCAATAGTGTCGTGGTGGCGTAGACCCCCAACAATGTACCATTAATGCTTCCCATATGTCATACCCAAAAAACATGGCGTCCCACTATGGACACTGGACCGCAGATTTGCATATAATATAGAGATAATTTGCATTAATGACTCATACACGTTCCACCTGAATGAGCATTTGATGTGCTGGACGGTAATGGAATAAAGCTGTCTGTCTCATTCAGTGGCATTCATAATTGGTCAAAATATTTATAAACAGTGATGGAAACTTGCCATTTTTCACTATTAGATTTCAGTCATTTGCATAAAGACCAAATACAGTATGCAAATTTTTCCCCAGCTTTTGTTTGTTTATAACATTGTTTTGTCCACTTTGTGAATACATGTATATGCATTAATGAATACATGTGTTTTGTTCAGCATTTTTTTCGTTGTTCGATTTTTATAATGACTTTTGTCGTTTAATCATCATAACTATATATTTTTATATATATTTATATATTAGTAAGTCCTCTTTAACCAATCATAAACCAGAGGGTAAATATTTGTGTAGACTTTAATTGGGTTATGAATATTTAACTGAATATATCACCCAAGAGAAAAGATTCACACTGACATTTATAACGCTCTTGTCAAAATCATTTATGTTGAAATGTTGGTAAATAATTCTAACGCGTTGTGGCTGGAGCAGAGAGACTTACGTGTATGTTCGTCCGTAAAGATAGTTTCTTATGTGGCTGTCAAGTGAATCTTTCAGACTTTCATCATTATATTTCACCATTAAATTCACTATACTGTCCAGTTTGTAGGACCAGGTATCTCTCTCTCTCTCTCTCTCTCTCTCTCTCTCGTTGTATCCACACTAGAAACTCTCATTTTTGTTTGTCGTTTACATAAATAATTTTCACCAGTGTTCTTTACTAAGAACTACCAACTTTATCCACACCAGAACTACCACTTCTACCCACACCAGCAGAACTACCACCATCCTACCCACGCCAGGTAACCTCATTCTACCCCCTTACCATCCACACCAGAGCACTACCCCATCCACACCAGAAATATCACTTTACCCAATCCCCCGCCATCCACACCAGGAGCTCTACGCTATCCCTACTAGGTAACATCCGCACTACGCTATCCACACCAGAAGCACCACTACCTTATCCACACCAGGTAACCTCCCTACCCTCTCCACACACCACTGGGTCATATTCTCTAGTCTATACTACCCTGGAGAGCTCTTACTTTATCCCTGTCGGTCGGTGGTCACGCTCGTCCATACATAGCCCCCTTTCCTCCATCCCTCCCTCCCTCCCTCCTTCCCTCTCTCCCTCCCTCCCTTCCTTCCTACCCCATTCCTTCCTTCCTACCCTATTCCTCCCTCCCTCCCTCCCTGGAAGTCCTGGGAGGGTCTCGTCCAGGCGGCAAATGGACACAACACCCCCCGCCTCCCTTCATTATGTTCCCCGGCCCACCTGTCACTTACCTGTCTCCTCCTCACTGTGGCAGGTGGTGAGGTAGGGGGAAGGTGGAGAAAAGGGAGAAAAGATAAGATGATGAGGGGGAGAAGGGAGAGGAGGGGGAAATTCGGGGGAGGTATTAGGGGAGAAGGGAGATCAGAACGAGGGGTTTAGAGGGAGACAGAGACAAAGTGAGAGACAGAGTGAGAAAGAGAGAGAGAGAGAGAGAGAGAGAGAGATTGGATGGTAACATTAACAAAGTCATCAGTGCCAGACAAGGCATGATTAGCGCTTGTGTAGAGAAAGACGCAATATGGGACAGGCAGACAGACAGACATAGACTGACAAGACAGATAAACAGATACAGACACACAGATAGACACGCAAACAGACTTATAACACACACACACACACACACACACACACACACACACACACACACACACACACACACACACACACACACACACACACAAGATAACGGGCCACTAAGCGAGATAGATACACGATGCCAGAACCTCACACAATATTAAGTACCAGCAAAGAATAATGTGTATTTTGTGTCGAGTAGGAGGAGGGAAACGGTGCTGGGGTGAAGCTGTAGGCAAGGTTTACTATACTCAGGGCGAAGGCGAGGTAGTGAGAGCCAGGTCCAAGCAGAGGAGTGAGTGCTGGAGTACGACCTCTAATTGACTCCACAGGTTGTATTGTTATGAATGAAAAGATTGAGTGGAGTTCAGGGTTCACGTTCTCCGCTTCCTTCTTCTCTTACTCCTACCCCCCATCTTCCCTACCCCTTACTCCTCTTCCACCTCCCTCCCTCTCCTCTTCCCCCTCCCTCACTGACTGACTCACTTAATCCCCCTACCCTACTCACTCACTCACCGGCCTGGCGACGAAATGTGAATCAGACCCATAAGATTAATTACATAAATGCCGTGATTAAAGCCAACCAGTGAATGAACTACCGATAATTAAATGGAAATATAACTTCTTCTTTTGCCACTGCTGACGTTTAACGAAAGGTAGGGGAAATATATACTGTATATATAAGTAGAGGGGCTATTGCTCTTTATTAATTCAGTCTAGTTGGCTTTTGTTTAACTTTATTCATAATGTGGTTAATTGCTATCCACTGTTTTTTCCTTTTCGTTGTATTTCTATAACGTAGGAATTCACTTTTGTTTTGTTTTTAGAATATTAATTAGTGTTGTATTTATTCCATCTGTTGCTGTCATTGAAGCTCTATCGTCATGACTAAAATTATAAGAAAATAATATATGGTTAAAAATACATTATTACATTACTAACATACAAACAGTCATATAATATAGCAAAATCCGTATCTCTAATTACCGTTGGGTTCAATTATCTCCTGTTGAAGTTCACGAGTAAAAAAAAATAAATAAAAGTAAAAGAAAATATAAAAAAAAATCCATTAATTCTGCATTTCTTTTTCACTCAGATCCACTTGAAACTTTACTGCACAGCCATCATCAATATTCACAGTGGTGGGGATCCTGGGGGTAGTGGCAGAGGGTGGGTTCAGTTCCATTGGGGTTCAGTCGCAAGAAAAAAAAATAGTGAAAGGGTTTTTTT